GGGCCCTAACCCTGACGTGGGCAGCCATCCAGGCCGACCGCGAAAACATTTACAATCAGGCCGACCCCGAAATTCTGGGCCTAGATCCTAATTAGCGACACCGTCGTCCACGATGTTTGTCGAAGCCAGGAGTACGGCTTGATCCGGCGATGAGTCCAGGGGTAATCGCTGTGACTCTCTGCTACTACCAGGCGGCGAATGCAAGCGGTATCGTGCGCTTGAACTTCTCCACAACCACGGCCCTACTGGCTGATTTGTTCAGAAACGCTACTCCCAGATAAAAAAAACAAAACCTAAAAAAAAAAAACCCGCGTACCAGGTACTCACCCAATTATGTACTGGATGTGGACCGGCCTATCGAGTCCCAAGCGCCTTTCGTTCCCCTCCTCCACCTCTCCTGGTGTGCTCCATGCCAAGCCTGATAACTGCGGATCGCCCGGGGCCAGGCGCATCAGGAAGAAGACCAATAGTGAAAGCGCGATTACTACTAGGCTGTCTGTATCAGACTGCGTGCTATATAGGCCTGAATGGCGGTCCAACTCCTTTCATCGCAGTGGCTCATAAGACCCCTCTCTCCCGACCCGCCGCTCCGTGTGAGCAAAACGAGAGCGGATACGAGGGGTCTTCCCTTTCTGTCCTATTGGCTGCGCCCGACCTACTTACTGTGACCGAATTTGTAGTCCTGGAGTTCCAGTACCAACCCTTTGACTGATGTGATCTCCTGGACCCTCATCGCTAACATCCGTAGACCTGGGCATGCTCTGTATCTTATCAACGGCACATCCGTGTCACCCGATGTCGTGATTTCCTTGTAGTATCCCTTTCTTTCCCTCGCCCTGCCGACGGGTCGTGCTCCTATCCCGATCAACGGAGGTCCCTCGACTCGCTTGTTCTGTACCGCCCACCAGCATTCCGTTGTTGCCTGCCCAACCGCTCGTATCCGTCTTGGCGCGAAGTACGCTCTGCATCAAACCAAACCATCCGGGTCCGGAGTCCGATGTACCACGCGTCACCACAATCGTCTACCCTTGCATACCCAGCATGTCCGCCGTCGCACTCCACCCCAACCAGACCTTATCAGAGCCACGTGGCCGAATCGACGACCACCACTTCCATGTCGATGCCTGCCTCTGCGACGTTCTGCTTCAAAAACAACCCGTCGGCCGATCTTCGGAACACTCGCCGCCTGGCTCCGGTAAGTACTTGATCTTCAAAGGGTTGGACTCGTCATAGCCTGCCTCCTTGAGAAGAGCCTTGGCCGCATCCAGGGGTCGCGCTCTATGAAGTCTACCGGGTCGTAGGCCCAGTGGTTGGAGGGGATCAGGTTACAGTCAACCTCGCCAAAACCGAACCAGATCGTCTTGTGCTTACCTTTATTAAGGCCATCTGCCTAGCCTTGGCGGACCCGACATCGGCCATCGTCGCCCTCTCTCTGGTGTTCATGATGACCGTCATGTAGGAATCGGTCATACCGCCCTTCTGCTCGATGACCTGAAGGCCCGGGAAGTTCCTGATCTCATCCACGAACTGGTAGGGCAAGGCGGCGACCAGGTCAACCTCTCACCCCCTTCAGCGAGCGAAACCCGGAGTCGTTGCTCCTCCATGATGGGAATCACCACTACGCTGTCAGTCCTTATCGTTGCAGCTTCCCACGGTCCCCATACAGCTGGTTTTTCTCCATCAACAATCCTATCGCCAGATGAACCGTGAAGCTGAACTCTCATCCTCGTGCCGATGGGTTCGTGTCGACCCCTCCGCTGCTAACGACGTTTGTCTGGAACATGACACCCCCGTCGTCCTCCAGCCCTGGCGTCGGGAACACGACGCTGAACTTGTTTGAGTTCTTCCGTATCGTTAGCTCAGCGCTGTGTAGGAATGTCACGTTCTTGCAGCTCGTTGGCCGCACCGGGACTTCTCCCTTGAGCTCGATTATGCATCGGTCGGAGTTCCAAATCGCTCGACGACGTGACTGGGGCCTACGTTATGGTTACGACGTTGTCTCGAGGTTCATGGTCGTAGGTGAGACCGTTCCGGCGAGAATCTCTGCCCGAACGAGCCAGACCCGGATCGGGGTTCATCATCGTCGGATCGAAGAAGAGCATCGTCTCGAAGATCATCCGGCCGTGAAAGATATCGTGGGCCCCCCCCCCCCCCCCCCCCCCCCCCCCCCCCCCCCCCCCCCCCCCGGACTGTCCCACGGTGAATGTCCAGGAACGATGGGTCCGCGGTGTTGCCTATGCGAAGCTTCGGTAATCAGACCGCTGGCCTCTCGCTCTTGATATTCCACTTCCTACGTACCTCTTGATCTCGACCTCCGTGACCACCACCGTCTGGCCGGGTACCTGAACCTCCTTCACAACCTCCCTGATGACCTCGATCGGCTTTTCGACCTCGACGGTCCTTATCGTCTCCTTCTCCACCTCGACGATCTTCTCTACAGGTACTTCTCTGACCACCTCTTGGGTGATCACCTTCTCGACAGGCACCTCCTTCACGACCTCCTGGGTACACGCGAGCGCCGTAACGAGCGCCAGTGTTCCAAGAGCCACAATTGCCCACTGGAATCTGATCTTCCTCATAGTGTCCCTCCAACTCCCCTCTTCGTACCCGTGAACGACAGGGGGCCATGTTACTCGCGGGCCTTACGGGCTGTCAACAACTTGCGCCTTGACAGGCGGAGCGGCGCTCCGATAGTTTCAGAGCCGATGGGCGGCTGAATCGCCGGGCATTCCCCCAGCCACGCAGCACGCACCGTGACGACGAGAGAACGGCCTGGAGCCATCGGCGAGGCCGCGGCTCGACCGGGCCGGATCGGGAAGACCAAGACGTGACGATCGAGAGATACCTTGAAGAGCTGTCGGACGAACGGAGCCCGCTCCGTCACTCGGACATGCCTCAGCTTTCGTCCCTGTCGCCCGAAGAGCTCGAAGAGTTCAAGGCGGGCTGGACCTCCCTGAGCTCGGAGCGCAGGTGCGAGACTCTCCCCCGCCTCGTCGAGCTGAGCGAAGAGGACCCCAACCTGGACTTCTCCGCCGTGTTCCGTATCTGCCTGACGGACGTAGAGGACCGGGTCAGGGAGGCTGCGGCGCGCGGGCTGTGGGAGTGTGACGACAGGATCGTGCTCCGACCGCTGATCAGCCTGCTGGCCAACGACGCTGCCGAATCGGTGAGAGCGGCAGCCGCCATGTCGCTCGGGAGGTTCGCGGAGCGGGCCCAGGACGGGAAGCTGCTTCCCCGTGACGCCGAAAGGGTCCGCCGGGCGCTGCTGACGGCCATCGACGACGATCTGGCGGACCTCGACACGAAGCGCCGGGCAATCGAGGCGGTGGCTGGATTCGGCTCCGCGGAAGTCGCCGAGATCATCCAGGACGCCTACGACAGTGGCGACGACCGGCTGAAGCAGAGCGCCATCTACGCAATGGGCCGCACCTCGGACGCCCGCTGGCTGCCCGCGGTGCTGGCAGATATCCACGACGGCGACCCAGCGTGAGGTACGAGGCCGCGGCGGCCTTGGGCCACCTCGGGGACGACACGGCCATTCCCCACCTGGTCCCCCTCATCGAGGACGAGGATACTCAGGTGCAGCTGGCGGCGGTCGAGTCCCTGGGTCTCGATTGTGCGGACCGCCGGCCTAAGAGCGCCCTCCCCAGATGCCTGGAAAAGCAAGAGCGACGACGTCATCCAGGAGGCCGCCCGAGTTGCTCTCGACAACGCCGAGCTCGACAACGACCCGCTCGGCTTCAGCTTCTAGGGTAGAGGGCGATCCGCCCGATTTCCGAATGACAGCAGCCAACCAGATACACAGCATCGCGGTAGTAGGCGCCGGCGTCATGGGCCACGCCATCGCGCAGGAGTTCGCCGTCGCAGGCTACGACGTGCGGATGACTTCCCGCAGCGAACAGAGTCTCGCCCGGGCGATGGACCGCGTCCGGGACAACGTCGAGCGGCTGCGCTCAATGGGCACGCTGGACGAAGACGGGCGCGAAGGGCCACCGAGAACATCCGGACCAGCGTATCCCTCGCCGACGCCGTCGACGGCGTGGACCTGGTGATGGAGTACGTCTTCGAGGACATCGACCTCAAACGGGAGGTCTTCGCGGAGCTCGACCGGCTGTGCCCGCCGCACGCCATCCTGGCCACGGGAACGTCGAGCCTCATGCCCAGCGACCTAGCGGTCGCGACCAGCAGACCAGACAAGGTGCTGGCCGCCCACTACGCCAACCCGCCCTACCTGCTGCCCTTTGTCGAGATCGTCGGCGCGAAGGGCTGCTCCCCGGAGTCGATCCAGACGGTCGTGGACCTCCTGGTAGGGATCGGCAAGCAGCCGGTCGTCCTCAAGAAGGAGGTTCCCGGCTTCGCCGCCATGCGTCTACAGGGGGCACTCCTGCGAGAGGCTCTCTGGCTCGTCGAGAGAGGCGTCGCCACACCCGCCGACGTCGACACCATCATCAAGACGGGCATAGGACGGCGGTGGTCGGTCGCAGGTGTATTCGAGGTCTTCGAGCTGGCCGGGTGGGACCTGATATCGTCGATCTGCGAGTGGCTCTTCCCGCACCTCGAGAATTCGCCGGAGACACCCCCGGTCCTTCGTGACGCGGTGGCGAGAGGCAACCTCGGCGTCAAGACCGGAGAGGGCTTCTACGAGTGGACGCCGGAGCTCGAGGAGGTCCTGCGCCGCAGGATCGCCAACGCTCTGGTCGAGATCGACCGCTGGCCTCGAGACGACGCCGGCGCGGCGTCAACCAGGTGACCGGGGCCGCCGTCGGAATCATCGCGAACCCGGCCGCCGGCAAGGACATCCGCAGGCTGTTGGCCGAGGGCCGGTTCGTCCCGAACAACGAGAAGAGGAACGCGTCAGACGCAACCCCTCGCGGCCGGCGAGCCGTCGGCATCGACCAAGCGCTCTTCATGCCGGACCCGACGAGCGTAGGCTGGGGCGCCGCAGACGGGGCCCGGGTCGGCTTCGAGACGAATCTTCTCGACATGCCCGTGTACGGCACGGAGGCCGACTCCGCCAGGGCCGCGGAGATCATGGTGGAGTCGGGCGCCGGATGCCTGGTAACCCTCGGAGGCGACGGCACATGCCGTGCCGTGGCGAAGGGCTCAGGCAGCGTCCCCGTGGTCGCCGTCTCCACTGGTACCAACAACGTCTTCCCGCAGATGATCGAGGGCACTGCTGCCGGGATGGCCGCAGCCGTCGTTGCCCGAGGCCTTGTCGATCGGGGCGCCTCGTCAGAGGTGAGCAAGCTCCTCGAGGTTACTGCGGACGGGCCCAGTCCGGCGCGTGACACCGCTCTCGTCGACGTGGCCGCCTCAAGGCAGCGGTTCGTCGGCTCAAGAGCGGTCTGGGACCCATCCAGCGTCCGGGAGCTCGTGCTCTCCGTGGCAGTGCCCGGAAGCGTGGGCCTCTCGGCCATCGGCGCCGCCTTATGCCCGCTGTCGAGCTCCGACGACCGGGGCCTCCACGTCCGCCTCGGCCCGGGCGGCACGACCGTAACCGCTCCCATCGCGCCCGGCTTCGTCGCGCCCGTGGAGGTCAGCGACTGGCGCACCGTGCCAATCGGCGAGACGGTCGAGCTCGACCCTGAACCGGGTACCCTGGCGCTGGATGGCGAGAGGAGCTTCCCGTGTCCGAGGGGCAGCCGGTGAGGATAACGCTGACCAGGAACGGCCCGCACGTCGTGAACGTCCGGGAGACGCTGCGGCTGGCCACACTGGCAGGAGTATTTGCGAAAGGTGGAGCTCTCACATGAGGTTCGCGTCGCGGAGATCGAACGTGATGGCCCGAAACGGGATGGTGGCGACAAGCCAGCCCCCGCTCGCCGCAATGGCCGGCTTGCGAATGATGATGGATGGCGGAAACGCCGTGGACGCGGCTATCGCTACGGCCGCGGCGCTGGCCGTCGTCGAGCCCCACTCCACAGGCATCGGGGGCGATGTCTTCGCCCTCATACGAATGGCCGACGATGGGAAGGTGCGGGCCCTCAACGCCAGCGGGCGATCGCCGGCGGGCGCCGACAGGGAGCACCTGCTTCGCCGGGGACTCACGGCCGTCCCTGAGCTCAGCCCTTTCGCCGTTACGAAGGGGAGCAGCGAGGGCCGGAGGAGCAGCGTCCTATCGGGACAGTCTATGCCCTGTCGCAGCTGACTGCCGACCGCATCGAGTACGCCTCCGGGGGCTACGCGGTGTCGGAGATAATCGCCGCCGCCTGGCAGGCTTCGGTCGAGAAGCTCCTGGCACAGCCGTCCGGCCAAGCATACCTGTCGAACGGAGGCGCCCCCCGCGCAGGCCAGGTCTTCCGGCTGCTTCCTACACCTCGTCCTGCGACGCTCTGAGGCATCGCCGATGCGGCACGGAGGCCTTCTACGCTCGCTTCCCCGCGTCGCGCGCGCCGTCGTTCTTTGTGCAGCGTGGAGTTGGCTGTCGACCGGGGACTTCGCTGCGCACCGGGCCGACTGGGTCGAGCCATCGCAACACCTACAGCGCGTGCGCCGTGGAGTGCTGGCAGGTGCCGCCGAACAGCCAGGGCATCAACCTGCTGATGGCCCTCAACATCGCCGAGGGGCTCGACCTGCCGTCGATGGGCCACCAGTCGCCCGCCGCGTATCACCACATGATCGAGTGCGTCCGGCTCGCGCTGGAAGCTGGGCGGACGAGGGCTCGCCACGTCACGGACGTCCGGCACATGACGGCGAGCAGAGCCTCCTCTCGAAGGAGCGGGCCGCGCAACGGCGCGGGGCGATCCGACCGGACCGGGCCATCGACGAGATCGAGCCGATGGCGGCGACCCTGGACGACACTGTCTACATATCCTGCGTGGACGGCCAGGGCAACGCCTGCTCCTTCATCAACAGCATCTTCCAGGGCTTCGGCACCGGGCTGGTCGTCCCCGACACCGGCATCGTGCTGCACAACAGGGGCTCGTCGTTCTCCCTGGACGAGGGGCACGCGAACGTGCTGGCGCCCGGCAAGCGTCCGTACCACACGCTGATGCCCGGCATGGTCACGCGCGGCGGCGAGCTGTGGCTCTGCTACGGCGTGATGGGCGGGATGCAGCAGGCGCAGGGGCACTTCCAGGTGCTCGTGAACTTGATCGACTTCGGCCTCGACCCGCAGACGGCGCTGGACACGCCGCGCTTCAGCGTCCGCTTCGAGGCCGGAGTGGCCGTCGAGCACACGGCGCCGCAGCCGTCGCGCCGGAACTGGAGAGGCTCGGCCACCGGATGATGGTGGAGCCTCCGCACGGGGTCTTCTTCGGAGGCGGCCAGGTGATAGCGCGCGACCCGCGCACCGGCGTCCTGGTGGCGGCAGCGAGCCGCGTCTGGACGGCGCAGCCGTCGGCTGGTAGCTGCCCGCGTGCTATAATCGGCGCCGCCCAGACCACACCTGCGAGGAGATCACCGATGGAGCTGAACGGCACCGTGTCCATAGTTACGGGCGGCAACGGCGGGCTCGGCCAGCGGATATGCGTCGCGCTGGCGGAGGAGGGCAGCAAGGTCGCGGTCGTCTACGCGGCAAGCAGGGAGCAGGCGGAGGCGTTCGCCGGAGCTCCGGGCCGAGGGTGCGGAGGCGGAGGCCTTCCAGTGCGACGTGTCCGACCCGGCGCAGGTCGAGAGCCTCGTCTCGAACGTGGAGGCCCGGCTGGGCGGCCCCGACATCCTCGTCAACGACGCGGCCTACAACAAGATGATCCAGTTCGACGACCTGGACGGCCTAACCTACGAGGAGTGGTGCAAGATACTGGACATCAACCTGACCGGCCCGATGCTGACGACGAAGGCGGTCGCGCCCGGGATGCGGAAGCGCGGGCGGGGCCGGATCGTCAACATCTCATCCATCGCGGGGTTCGCTCCCTCCGGGTCGTCCATCGCCTACGCGGTATCGAAGGCCGGGCTGAACCACCTGACGCGGTGCATGGCGGTCGGGCTGGCGCCCGAGATCCTGGTGAACTGCATCGCGCCCGGGCAACTGGAGGGCACGAGGGCCACGGCCAATCTGGACCCGGCGTTCAGCAGGCAGGCCCAGCTGGGGGCGCTCCTGAAGCGCTCGGCGAGCAAGGACGACATCGCCGACCAGGTGGTGGCCTTCTGCCGGACGGACAGCACGACCGGCCAGAACCTGGTGATAGACGCCGGGCGGTTCTTCCACTAGGGGCCCCTGTCGTAGGGGCAACCCTTGTGGTTGCCCCTCTCGCCAGACGGGCGGACACGAGGCCCGCCCCTACGGGAACGACGGTTTAGTCTCAGTGACGCCGGTTGGAGACCACCGGCTTCCGGCGAGCTATGACGACAACTCAGACGAATCTAGCTGTCTTTGCCGCCTCCGCTCATGGAATCAATGGCGTTCCCGATCTTCATAACCAGTATCAGGACGCCGATTGAGATTAGCAGTGCGCCTACTGCGACGGTCAACCCGGAAAACGCCGTTATCAACATTGCTGTGTCGGACATGCTATGCCTCCCCATTCGTTGATGTCGCGGAAGGCCGTGTGTGGAATGAGCATTCCGACCGACCGCGGTTGACGAACCGCATCATATAGTACGATTAGCTCGATGTAAACCGGCACTTCTCGCCAGACGGGCGGGCACCGAGGCCCGCCCCTACGGAACGCCGGCGGTGCCGACTAGTACCGTTTCAATCTGAATATGATGGATAGATGTGTTGAAGTTTAGTACGAGCGTCCTGAGTGGAGAAGCGCCAGTCTATGACGGCGACAGCCTCATTGCGCTTACGTTCCAGCGCCGAGACCTCTCGCTTCAGTATCACCTCGTCGCTGATTCGACGGTTGAGACACTGGTTGCTAAATACGCTCAACTCTATCTCAGCCATGTTCAGCCAACTGCCGTGTAGAGGAGTGTAGTGGAACTCCAGGCGCTTGGCGATGCGCCGCGCTTCGGCTGGCTTGAAGGCATCGTACAACGAGCCCAGCTTGTGAGTGTTGAGGTTGTCCAGCACCAACCGTATCGTCTCTGTGTGAGGGTATGCATCATCAACCAGCCACCTCATCTGATGAGCGAAGTCCACAGCAGTGCGCCGCTCGGTCACCTCGACATGCCGCCAGCCAGCTTTCGGCTCACAGAACATGAACAGGTTTCGAGTGCCGTTTCGCTTGTACTCGTAGTCATATCGTTCCACCCGACCCGGCTTGGCCCCGATGACCGGTCTCTTATCGGCCACCAGTTGCCTGGATGTCTCGTCGAAACAGACCACGGGATGGTCCGGGTCGTAGTCTGCGTGGTACAGGTCCAGCACGTCCTCCATTCGAGCCACGAACTCCCCGCTCACCTCCGGGATGCACCACTCCTTCTTCTTCCACGGCTTGAGTTCGTTTTTTTGAGTATCTGGCGCACCGTCTCGAGGGAGATGCTCTCGGCAAACCCCATCGCCACCACCTTGTCGGCAAGCAGTTGGATCGTCCAATCCGCGTGTCCTTCGGGTGCGTCGCTGCACGCGATGGCTATCAGATGTGCTTCCTGTCTGCCGTCCAACTTGCGCTTCTGTCCCGGTCGAGGGCGCTCATTGAGTGCGCTGTCGAGTTCCTCCTTCACAAACCGCGTGCGCACACGTCCCACCGTGGATGCGCTTATCAATAGGCCGCTGGCGATGTCACGGTCGGTCATGCCTTCGTCCGCCTTCAGCAACACCAGCGCTCGCTTGACCTTACGGGCCGAAGTCTCGCCACGACTCGCCATCTGCTTGAGATGTGTCCGT